ATATATAGTGGAAAAAAGACGGTCTCTTCAATAAATGGTGCTGGGAAAATTGGACAGCTATGTGTAGAAGCATGAAACTCGACCATTCTCTTATACCATACACAAAGATAAACTCGAAATGGATAAAAGACCTCAATGTGAGGCAGGAATCTATCGAAATCCTAGAGGAGAACATAGGCAGTAACCCCTTCGATATCAGCCACAGCAACTTCTTTCAAGACATGTCTCCAGAGGCAAAGGAAATAAAAGTGAAAATGAACTTTTGGGACTTCATCAAAGCTTCTGCACAGCAAAGGAAACAGTCAGCAAGACAGAGAGGCAACCCATGGAATGGGAGAAGATATTTGCAAATGACACTACAGACAAAGGGCTGATATCCAAGATCTTTAAAGAACTCCTCAAACTCAACACTCATAACACAGATAATCACGTTAAAAAATGGGCAGAAGACATGAGCAGACACTTCTCCAAAGAAGACATACAGACATATGAAAAAATGTTCATCATCATTAGCCATCGGGGAGATTCAAATCAAAACCACCTTGAGATACCACCTTACACTGGTTAGAATGGCCAAAATTAACAAGACAGTAAACAACAAGTGTTAGAGAGGACGTGGAGAAAGGGGAACCCTCTTACACTGTTGGTGGGAATGCAAGCTGGTGCAGCCACTTTGGAAAATAGTGTGGAGATTTCTTAAGAAATTAAAAACAGTGCTATCCTATGACCCTGCAATCGCACTACTGGGTATTTACCCCAAAGATACAGATGTAGTGATAAGAAGGGCCACCTGTACCCCAATGTTTATAGCAGCAATGGCCACAGTCACTAAACTGTGGAAAGAACCAAGGTGCCCTTCAACGGACTAATGGATAAGGAAGATGTGGTCCATATACACTATGGAGTATTATGCCTCCATCAGAAAGCATGAATACCCAACTTTTGTATCAACACGGATGGGACTGGAGGAGATTATGCTGAGTGAAATAAGTCAAGCAGAGAGAGTCAATTATCATATGGTTTCACTTACTTGTGGAGCATAAGGAATAACACAGAGGACATGGGGAGATGGAAAGGAGAAGTGAGTTGGGGGAAATCGGAGGCGGAGACAAACCATGAGACACTGTGGACTCTAAGAAACAAACTGAGGGTTTTGGAGGGGAGGGGGGTAAGGGGTTGGTTGAGCCTGGTGGCGGGTATTAGGGAGGGCATGTATTGCATGGAGCACTGGGTGTGGTGCATAAACAATGAGTTATGGATCACTGAAAAAACCCATAGCTGAAACCCAAGCAAATGGAAATAAAGCAACACCGTGCAGTGAGGGGGGGGGCAAGATGGCTGCTCTGTGGGCACCTGAATGTCACACTTCTGTTACCTCCAGGGTGATATATTACATGTGGTCAGGACCTAGCAACTGCCCCTGGCTGAGAGTAACTAGGGAAGAACAGAAATTGATACCAATCTCAAATTTATCTTTTCCTGATTCCCACAACTGTATCTTAGGTCCTGAATTTATACTGAAGTATCAACAAACTACAAATAAAATGCTATCACCTTTCCCCAAGAACACTACAAGAAGACAAAACATAAAACCTATTATGTGATTCTTAATAAAAAACATTTTTCATTTGTGCAACAAATACTGAATATGACTTTCACTAAAATATTTTCACTTCCAAATACACTGAAAATATTTATCATCGAACTACCCAGAATAAGCTACTATAGAAAGCAAAAGCCACCGTTCAGTTGACTTCTAAATATAATATCACTCAGCTTGCCAGTTTTGGTCTCTGAGAGCAGAATCTAAAGATGAATTATTTTTAGTGGTAAATGAAGAATTTGATTTTGAAATAAATAAGTAGAGTGTATGATTTTAATAATCTCTACATTTTAAAGTTTTTTGATAAAAGAAAGATCTAGTACAGTAAGGAAAATTCTTCTGTGTCAACAAAATCTATCAAAACACAGTGAGTATCCTTTGGCAACCTCCAAGACCGCGCACATGCACAGGAGATCTTTTCTCTGTATTAAACAGCCACCCAGTGTGGCCAGATACACAAGGAGCCAAATGCTGGCTTTCCCATACTGCTCTGCAGAACTCCTAACTGCTTTACCAAGCAAGGTTAAAAAGTTAGAGTTAACCAGAGTTAAAAAGTACAAAATAAGGAAAAAATAAACAGATTTTATTATTTTCTCCCCTGATGATGTTCATTTTAAACTTAATGTGCAATTTAATCAAATAAGAAGGTTGCCTAGGAGAGCAATGATCAGTTTCGGGAATAAAGATTTTTTTTTTTCCCTCACCTACCTAGCCTATAATACAAGAGATCTAGAACAATCATTCTCTATCCTATACTAACATTTTTTTATTAAGTTACTAGCTTGCAAGGTGAATAAGATAATTGCAAAACTATTGCAAAAAATATTTCACCTGACAATTTTTAAATGTTAAAAAGAAGAATCATGTTCTAGAGTTTTCACTGAAGTCTTATGCTGTATAAATTGCTTTGTATTAGCTGAACTTTAAGAATGGGAACATGATTGGCTTGTCCATGTCCCACTTCCCACACAGAGGGTCCTGATGCTTTCTGCAGATCTAAGCACACACCATATGTTCTGTCAGCATAGACCAGGTTACCCCGTGCAAGCCCAGAAGTTACTGGGTGCAACCTTAATTAACTAATTATCCAAGGAGGGGGAGGGGCAAAAGCCCTGGGAATCCAATCTAACCTTGTTATGTGAAACCTTAGTATCTGAAATGTTTCCCAGATATCAAAAAATAAACTTTACACAAAACGCTGTACAAATACAAATTTCATGTTGTGAAATCTTTCATAAATAGAAATCAAACAGCGATGTTCCTAGCATGCTTTTCAGACTGGCTAAACACTCAGTTTATCACTGTGTACCCCACTGTGGGAAGCACGTGTGCCGTTCCCACCGAATGACACAGATTTCAAAAAATAAGTATGATTAATTAGATAAGATAAATGACTGATGTAAAAAGTTCCTTCGGCAAGCTCTCTGTTTGGTCATTTACATGTGTTAATGTTACAAAGCCCTTTAAAGACAGTTTTTAAGAAGTCCTGTTACCTCACTATAATGAAAGATGTAAAAGAGAAAAGGAGGAAAATTAAAGTCAATGTGCATAATAGATCAGGTTAGTCTGCAGTGAGGACTGTACCACATGGAAAGGTGAAACGGGATTCTTACCATCAAATTGTGAACTACAAAAGTTCATATGATAGTAATGGTAGTGAACTAGAAAAAGATATTTCACTTTAAAATTGAGTCAATTAATATAAATATGTAAACACCAGCTGACGTCACCTCCCCCCCCACCGACCCCTGGTCTAATTTTTACTTATGGTTACACATTAACTTTTGAGTCTCTCCAGCCAACAAGACATACTGTTAGGCTTTGGCAACATCAAAATAACAATCAGTACAGTTAGAAGGAGAGACTATGGCCCTGACATCGCACTGAACTGAGGCTCCTGGGCGATCCTGTCTGCCCACATCTCTCCTTCCCCGCGTGTATTCTGTGGGGGAGAACAAGTGGTTATTTCCGCCCCTCATGCCTGTGAACTTGGAAGCTCCATCTCGACTGGAAATTGAGGACCCTGTTGTTTCTTATCTGCAACTGCAGGGTTTAGTTAGGGCCTTAGGCTTGCGGCAGGGACCAGGGCAGCTCCTCCTGCTGCGGTCCTGGGGTTAGAGGTTCCTATCGACCCTGCTTGGCAGTCCTCCTGCCATCTTCTTGAAGCCTCAGACCACAGACTCTGCCCACCCCCCACCATCAAAGGACTTGATTTCATGGCAGTCAATGGAGCCTTCTGGAACAGGACACAGCCTCGACCGCATGCTTCCTAAGTCCAAGGCTTAGACTAGAGCCCTTACCCAGTCTGGCTGATCTATCCTCTCAGGTCAGCCGCCAACATTGCATACTCGGGCATGGGGCTGGGGTGTTGGTTTGCTTGTTTGTTTTTTGTGAGCAAAAAACAAAACAAAAAAACAAACTCCATAAACACACACACAAAAAAACAAATAAACACAAACTTCCCAAGAACTGCATGCTAAACATCTCATTTCAGCAGTGTCCACACGCTAAGCCGACACTGAGTTGAACAATACCGAACTATTTCTTAACGTGCTCTTTTATACAAACCAGTAGTACTGCCTTGGGTCCAGTAAAGGCAATTCTGATTATTTGGCGAGGGGGATGGTGGATTAGGAGAGTAACAGCACATCATTCACGCACATCTGTCCCTGTTGGTGTGAGTTAATCCATTTGTCAACTTAGAATACTACAGGAGCAAAAGGACTGTACAGCTGCATGTTCTTCAGTGCATTTTCAGTAAGCTTCGGACAGGTATTGGGCAAGTACGGACTTAGAATTATATGCCCAAGACTGTGCTTGGAATGTGGCTTTTCTAGCTTGCTAATTTAATAGAGACCCACTGAGCCTTAGCAACTAAGCTAAATAAAGGACCACGTTGAGGATAATGGTGGCATCCTCTTGGGCAGTCAAGGGATCCAATGAGAACACAATGATGTAGAAAGAGCAGCCAGACCCTCCCGCCCAGAGTAGTAGGGAGCATCCTGTGTAGGAGACCATCAGCCTTGCTCATGTGGGACGTGAGCTTGCAACAGTGCTAAGGGGACAGTGAGTGGCCCCTGTGTGGACGCAGGTGTAGTCACAGAAGCCGTTCTTACCAAAGGCTGCTCTTCCTTTGCAGATTTCTTTGGAGTCTTAACTTTCTTGGTCTTCATAGTCACTGATGTACTGATGGTGGGTGAGTGTGGTCTTGAACCGGCTCTAGGTCTGGATGGAATCCTGGGCTGTGAGGGCCACGGGGACAGGGAAGTCTCTTTCCCTTTGACTAATCTCAGGCTCTGGCACACAAAAAAGAAATGGCTTGGTGATTCTCACTTCATTCTTCAGATTTGTGTCCCTTTCTTTTCCTCCCGTGAACTGGCATCGCAGGGTCAAATTTTCAGTCCCAAAGGGCATGGATCTGGTCTTTTTCCCAGTCCCACACTCCCTTTTGGCCTGATTCAGTGTGCAGGCTGGGTCTGTTTTTCCTCTCCTCCCGCTGATGCCACTGCATCAAGAAAAACATACCAACAGATTAGTGTTTTCTGGAAGCACCTGGAAAGGTGGGAGTGTTGAGGAGTAGGGTAATGGGACAGCTTGAGGTCTGTATTCTATTTGTAAGAAGCTAGGAGAATAGAAGGTGGGAGTGAAGGGACAGGAATGTGAAGAGATAGGGCATGAGCCTAAGTCTCCGTGTACCAGGACACTTTTCCCATTCCTTCAGCCAGGTTTGCGTTCTTGTTGGCTTATACCCCTCTCACTGAGCTCAGCCATCAGGCTGCTGGGCTCCCATCCACACTTTAAAGCATGTTCTCCTTCAAACTCAGATCTTGGAAAGTGAAAAGTCTCAGTAGGGTATATATACCTTCTTCAACCCAGATGTCAAAATAAGGCTCACACAGAATAAAAGAAGAAAAAAGAATTTAAATTTAAATGCAAACCTTGCTGCCTACACTGCCCAACTTCTTCCTTGTTTCCATGTCCTCCTTCTGTTTATTAATCTATGAAATTGAAGGTGCATATCATTTGTTATCATTTGCAAAGATTAGTTAAAAAGAATTTTCTATAACACTTCCTCGAGCAATGAAAGAATAGAATTGTAAACCACTTAACTGCTAACACTATTATGAGAACATAAGTTATAATGGTGCATATGAATTAGAAAAGTAATTTGTACCCAGAAAAAGCACTTAAAAGAGGTGAACAGAAAGAAAGCTGTAAATGTTTAAAGTCATTAGCATTTGTTCATTGCTTTAAGCATAATAGAGATTATAGAGAAACATAGATTGTTTGTTTTTGTGGTAATAATTTGTTCCATATATTATTATGATAGCTATAAATACCCAGTCTTATAAAAGTTTTGGAAAAATTTCAGATAATTCAATATCCAGAATTCAATAATGTAATGATGAAATTTTGATTTAAAGAATCAGTTCTAGTTTCCAGGCATAAAAGGCTTTTTATGATATATATATATAATTGAGATATAACCAACACAGAATATTATATTAGTTTCAGGTCTATAACATAATAATTCAAAATTTGTATATATTGCAAAATGATGGCCACAATGAAGCTAGCTAATATCCACTACCACACAGTTATAATTTTTTCTTGTGGTAGAAACTTTGGAGATTTACTCTCTTAGCAACTTTCAAATGTATAATAAGGTATTATTAACTATGGTCATCATGTTGTACATTACATTCCTGTGACTTATTTATTTTATAGCTGGAAATTTGTACCACCTTCACCCATTTCACCCACTTCCCATCCTACCTTTGGAAACCACCAATTCATTCTCTATAAGTTCATGTTTTCATTTTTTTACATTCCACATGTAAGTGAGATTATACAGTATTTGTCTTCCTCTGACTCACTTCACTTCGTATCATTTCCTTAAGATCCATCCATCTTGTTGCAAGAAGCAAAAAATGTATTATTAATGCATGCTTCAATATTATCAAGCTTTTTTTTTTTTTAAAGATTTTATTTATTTGACAGACAGAGATCACAAGTAGGCAGAGAGGCAGGCAGAGAGAGAGGAAGGGAAGCAGGCTCCCTGCTGAGCAGAGAGCCCGATGCGGGGCTCGATCCCAGGACCCTGAGATCATGACCTGAGCCGAAGGCAGAGGCTTTAACCCACTGAGCCACCCAGGCGCCCCTATCAAGCTTTTTTTATCATGTGAATCTATGACTAATGCCAGGGATTCTAATTCTGGCTAACTTATGCAATTAAACAATGATGAGATACACCTCTAATCATTAATCTCACTGGTATAACTATTTTCAAAAATATTCCTCATCTACAGATAGAGCAGAATTCAATAGAAAGCAGGTCTGCCTCACCTCTTGAAATCTTGAGGACTGTGGGGATAGTAACTGATGTCCATGAAGCATTGCATTTGGGAAGAACTGGACAGGGCTGTTAACATCAAGGAGAAGTGCGAAGCTTCTATTCTACTTTAAATGCAATGGAACACCAATGAATAATTTTAAGTGTTGGGGGGTATGTGTGCGACATAATATTTATTGTATGAAGTCATAATTTGAGGGGAGTCATGTTTCTGGTCATGGCTGAGTAGCTCCTATGAAACCAACCCTCCCACAGATAACAACTATAAACTCTGGAAAAAACCTATGTAAAACAAAATTACCTGAAGAAAATGGCTTTTAACTTAACAGAAGTGCCAAGACTGTCTAAAACTATGATGGAAAACCTGCAGCCTTTCAGGGTTGCTGAAGACATAGTTCAGGGCAATCATCGCCAATGAAAGTCCCAAGGCAAGGAAATCCCAAGGAAAGCCAGACTACAGAGCCCCCAACTTTGTGTGCAAATTTTGCCCAAATCTCCGGCAGATGGCTGAATCATGCTTGGCCGTGAAAATAAAGCTCAAAGGTTGAATTAAGATTTGAGCTGCCATCCACTGCATGTGAGGCAGGGCTTGCAGTCTGAATCCAAGTTAATTACCTGATTTTTTTTTTTTTTAAGTAGGCTCCATGCCCAACATGGAGCCCAATGCAGGGCTTGAACTCATGACCCTGAGATCAAGAGCCAGATGCTTAACCAACTGAGCCACCCAGGCATTCTTAATTGGCTGATTTTAAAAAAATAACACATAATGTTCATAATGCCTGTAAAATCCAAAAATGTTCAAAATACAGTTTTATGTTGCTGATCTATTCTTGTGCAAAAAGACTATTAACATGGACTGATGCTGAGATGGTAGCTCAAAAATAGTGGAATGAGGTCTCTGAAAAGTGCTGAAAGAATAAAAGAAAAACAAACACTGTTAACTTGGAATTCTGTACCGACAGAATAATATTTTTCAAGATTGAAGTATCTGGAAGCTACTTTCAGATAAAGGAAAAACAGAAGGGTTGCATCCCTAGCAGTTCTGACCTACGAGAAACATTAAAGGAAGCTCCTCAGACGAAGAAAAATGATCCCAGGGAGAACTTCCCAACTCTAGGAAGGAATGTAGAGCATCAGAAATGGTCAAGATGTAAGACTATATTGTCTTAATTTCTTTCAAATACATACAATTGCTTAAAGCAAAAAATGTAATATTGATGTAAATAAAACAACTTTAATTTGAAGAATGAAGAAATAAATCTATATAAACAAAATATATATTTCAATGTTTCTATATTTCAAGTGAAACTGCCGAAATTAATTCTAAGTAAACTACAAAAAGTTAAAGATGTAAATTATAATTGCTAGAGAAACCACGAAAAGATAGACAAAAAGCCAAAATAATAATAAATAAATTGGGGACACCTGGGTGGCTCATTCAGTGGAGCATCTGCCTTTGGCTCAGGTCATGATCCTAGAGTCCTGGGATCAAGCCCCGTATCAGGCTCCCTGCTCAGTGGGAGTCTGCTTCTCCCTCTTCCTCCACTCCTCTCCCTGCTCCTTCTCTCTCTCTCTCACTCTCTCTCAAATAAATAAATAAAATCTCTTTTAAAAGATAATAAAATATATTGGAATTCTAAAATATATTAAAAGGACAGCCAAAAAAAAAGAGAGAGAGAGAGAGAGAGAGAGAGAATAGAGGAAAGAACAATGGAAAATCCAAAGGGGAAATATAGAAAATAAATTTAAAAAATGGTAGACCTAAATCTAACCCTATCAATAATAACACTGAGCGTTGATAAAGTGAACAGACTAGATAAAATGAAGAAACAGGAAGAATGTATAAAACAGCAAGACCCGGGCGCCTGGGTGGCTCAGTGGGTTAAGCTGCTGCCTTCGGCTCAGGTCATGATCTCAGGGTCCTGGGATCGAGCCCCGCATCGGGCTCTCTGCTCAGCGGGGAGCCTGCTTCCTCCTCTCTCTCTGCCTGCCTCTCTGCCTACTTGTGATCTGTCAAATAAATAAAATCTTTAAAAAAAAAAACCAAAAAAAACACAAAAAAACAGCAAGACCCAATTATTTACTGTCTATAACATAAGCACTTTAAGTATAAATACACAGAGAGGTTGAAAATACATGTATTGGAAAAAATGCAATGCAAACATAAGAAGATTGGAGGTACTACATTTATACATAACATGTATAGTACACTTCAGGATAGAGAATTACTAGAGATAAAGAGGGACATTTTATAATGATTAAAGGGTCAATTCATGGGAAGACATAATACTTATAAATGCAAATGCACCTATTAACAGAGCTTTAAAACACATGGGTGGGGGGGGGCGCACCTGGATGGCTCAGGTCATGATCTCAGGGCCCTGGGATCAAGCCCTGCATCGGGCTCTCTGCTCTGCAGGGAGCCTGCTTCCTCCTCTCTCTCTGCCTGCCTCTCTGCCTACCTGTGATCTCTGTCAAATAAATAAATAAAATCTTAAAAATAAAGTTAAACACATAAAGTAAAAATTGGCAAAATTATATAGAGAGACAAATAATACCCCTCTGTCAGGGATTGAAAGAAATAAACAAAAAAGTCAAAAACATAGGTGACTTAAAAAACACTATTACTACCTTGATCTAATTGATAACAACTGCATGAACTTCAGATTATAAATTATTTTCAAGTAGACATAGTATGGTCCCATGATAGACTATATGCTGTTTAGTCATACAATAACTGCTAAAAATTTTATAAAAATTTAAATCCTACAGAGGATGTTCTCTGATCACAATGAAGTAAACTACAAATCAATAACAAAAATACATCTAGGAAAATCACTAATATTTATAAATTAAACAATACATTTCTAAATCACAGGGAAAATCAGAAAATATGCCAAACTGAATGAAATACCAGGATACCAAAATGTGTAGGATGCTGCTCAGAGGGAGATTAATAGCTTTAAATGCTCAATTAAAAATAATGAAAGGCCTGAGATAAATGACCTCAAGTTCCACCCTAAGAAGGTTACAAAAAAAAAAAAAAAAGAGAGAAAGAGCAAAGTAAACAAAAAGTAAATAGAGGGGAGAAAAGGACAAAAATCAGGGCAGATATCAATGAAATAAAAAGAAAAAAATAGAGAAAATAGAGC